GCTCCAGCGCCCGAGCCAACTCCACCGCCAGAACCAGCTCCAGCACCCGAGCCAACTCCACCGCCAGAACCAGCTCCAGCACCCGAATCAACTCCACCGCCCGAGCCAACTCCACCGCCAGAACCAGCTCCAGAATCCGAAACAATCCCAGTCGGGACCATCGCCTCAGCAGAAGAAATGGAACCCTCGCAGTCCTGGGACTTTCAAGGATGGGGCACACCAGCAGAACTCCAGAATTTGTGGACGCTCCTTGCCCCGCTGATTTTTGAGCTTATCCCAGTCTTCTTTATTAATGTGTTGTATTATCTCCCACGTTACATATATCGACGGTGGTGGCGTAGGGAAGGCAAAACAGAACAGGAGCTCATGAGCATTTTGTTTCATGAGAGTACTGGGCTAGTCTCACAGATGAAAGTTGTGGTAGACATGGTGCACGAGGAAGAACAGCGATTCGCTCGATTGAATAAGGAGATGCATTCAATTAAACAGATAAGCGAGCTGCAAGAACAATGCCGTGCCGAAATACAGATGGAGATTGATTCAATGAAGACGATGATAGAGGATCAGAGCCAGCTAATTGTTCAGTTTCTGCAGAGAATGCGATGAATATCTGCGATGTCTGTGCCTTCCAGCAGACAAGCATCAGTTGAGTGCTACTGATAAAAAGAAGTGTGTCCGTTTTGTACGTGACGCAAGAAAAATGTGCGTACATATTATCATTAGGGCAAGGGAGGAAAGGCAGTGGCGCCACGGCCCAACTAGTTGCGCGCTACAAGAACTAACAGGTTACAGTTATTGTGGAGGTACATTTGTGTTTATTATATTAAAGAATTTTATTGTTTGTGCTTATGTTCTATATAACAGAGTACAGTTATTGTGGAGGTAATGCATTTGTGTTTATATTATTAAAGAATTTTATTGTTTGTGCTTATGTTCTATATTGTAAAAATAGCGTTCTTTGTATATTAAATAATCAATCAAAACATTGTGTTGTCTAGTCACAGGCCTTTCACATATGCGTAAAAGGTCTCTATAGCGCCGTCTTCCCTTTGGGCTTTCGAAATAAGACTCAGCAGTTGAGTGGTACTGATGAAAAGAAGTGTTCCCCCTGTGGTCGTGGTTTCTATGTAACGATCAAATGGCAACTGGTGAGAAGAATAGTAGGGGAAGTGGTAGTAGAGCCCTAAAGATGGGTGTTGGCCACGCGAGAGGTATGGCAAATGAACTCCTTAAGCATAGTCTAACCTGGGTAAACATCAAAGAGATAACTACTACGTTAATTGAACTGTGAGCTCACAAAAAGACGTGTTTATTGTGTGGGGAGTGAGTCGCGATGTAGAGAAAAATGAAGGTGAGAATGGTCTCCGGCAAATGAATGACCGTGTAATTAGGCAGAATCACACAGATTTGGGTGTAATAAACGTTCCCTATAACCATGACCTCTAGGAGAGATCCTGTGTGAACAGCGCAGTAAAAAAATTCAGTAGAAAGCTAATGAAATATAATAAGTGTTTTGAACATCTTAATTTTCTTGAAGTGGGAAACTGTCTGGAATTATATACAAATCATGCTTTGCATTTAAATGGGAGAGGTAAAGAGGGTATGGTGCAAAAAATCGTAAATGTGATTAAGGATATTTTCGCGTGTTGGGTGTTTGTGACGCGACAAATAACTTCACGTCTTTTTGGATCTAGCGAATTTATTGCACACTCGCTCTTACACTTACACAATTCACAATTTCACAATTACTGCCATCTGCAGTATCACAATTACTCCTTCTGCTGTAGTCACTTCCTGGCTTCAACCGTCTTGATTCCATTCACTCAACAACTCATACTGCTAGACTTTCACTCATACTAGTAACTTTCTCTCTCTCTCTCTCTCTCTCTCAGGTTTAACAGAGTCAGAGTCAGAGTAACTTGAAATTAAAATTACAACTTTGATATTGAACTAATAGCGAAGCTGTGGGCACCTTGAATTTTACCAAAAAAGATCAATACCTCAACACTGGCTTACCTGCATCCAATGGTATTAGTTCTTTGTGTACTCCAATGACTATTTTCCAGTTTGTTTGAAAGTACACGTAGTTCAGTGAGTGTCCACTATCACGATGTCTTCGAAATCATCTGACTTGGATGTTTTATAACACCTGATCGTGTTTTCCTCCAGATGGACGACCCATTGTTTTTCTCTGGTGTGGAGCATAGTTTTGCACTTTTGGAACATGCTTTTTAGAATTATTTCATTTCTTGCAACTTCCTCTTTTGGCACAGAAATGTAAACTATCCCTGGGATATTTTGTGTGCAGAATATTTACAGTTCTAGCGGGCACATGATTTGATTAAAATGAGTTCTCTGAAGACTGGCTTCCGCTGCTTGCCTCTTCATGGTGCTGCCAATACCGTCACAGGCATTCTTCCCGTGCGAGGTGGCAAAGAAGTTCCATTCTGCTTCAAGTCCGAAGTCTTCATAGTGATAACATAAATTAGAAAGATTCTCTTTGTTTTTATATTGGCTTCCAGCGCCTTCACTGAAATAAATAACTTTCCTGACTGATGGCACATTTCCATTTACATCGGCGATAAGAAATTTTTGGAACACATAAACTGTGGCTTTATCGTGCTTTACATGATCACTGATCATACACAAGCTTGGGCATTTTGTTATAGTGTCCGCCTTGTAGTAATACACAAAAGGGTGACGTGTAGCCTGTTGATTTACCCAGTGGAAACTTTGAATCTCGTCTTGAACGAGAAACGAACAATTGTCTGCAAAATCTGTAAAATTCAAGGTGCCCACAGCTTCGCTATTAGTTAAATATCAAAGTTGTAATTTTAACTCCAAGTTACTCTAGAATAGAGCATTATTTGCTATGAATTTCAAATTTTTCGGAGCTTCTCCACAGAGATATGAGATGTCAAAAATTGCCGATTTTGGGCCCAGAACAAAGTTTGGAAGCTCCTGGAAAATTTTGAAAAATAGGTACGGTGCTCAAAACTAAGTGATTATATTCTTCATGTAGGAAAAAACAAAGGGTAGAGACCACAGATCTGATACTTTCCCCTCCCATTTGTTTTTGAAGGTGAAAAATAGCGTTTTTCCCAAAATCGATAGATAAGTTTCGAGCTTAATTAGACCTAGAGAAAGTGAGTTGAGTGAAACCTTGTAATAATATGATTTATAGTCCATATCATGAGGAACAAATTGGTTTCTCATTGGAGCCTCTAGCTTCAATAGTTATCGAGATATTGGAGATAAGGCAAACCTCCATTTCAGGCGAAAAAGCATTTTTCGCATTATATAGAAACTTCGCTATTAATTGAATATCAAAGTTGAAATTTTAACTCCATGTTACTCTGGAATAGAGCATTATTAGCTATGAGTTTAAATTTTTTCGGAGCTTCCCCACCGGAGATATGAGACGTTAAATATGGCCGATTTTAGGCCCAGAGCAAAGTTTGGAAGCTCCTGGAAAATTTTGAAAAATAGGTACGGTATTCAAAACTATGTGATTATATTCTTCATGTAGGAGAAAATAAAGGGTAGAAACCACAGACCTGATACTTTCCCCCTCCCATTGGTTTCTGAAGGTTAAAAATAGCGTTTTTCCCAAAATCGATAGGTGAGTTTCAAGCTTAATTACACCTAGGGGAAGTGAGTTGAGTAAAACCTTGTAATGATATGATTTGTTTCCCACATCATGAGGAACATATGGGTTTTTCATTTGAGTCTCTAGCTTCAATAGTTATCGAGATACAGAAGATAACGCAAACCTCCATTTGAGCCGAAAACGCGTTTTTTCGCATTATAAAAACGGCTGTACCGGGAGAACAGAGCAGAAGACAGTTTTTTTTTAATATTTTTGAGGTGTGAATATATGTAGAAATAAGTGTACAAAATTTGAATTTTTTTAAAAATGGTGAGCGACCTCTCTGGATGACTTCACATGGAATGACCCGTAACAGTTTATGGATGTACTCATAAACAAATTATGAATTATGAATAATGAATTATGAAGTAGACGAATATCTACTGAATGCTGAGAGGAGGCACTGTTGTACTGTCCTGGCTAGTTAACTGCACATAAATACATGATATTCGTATAACAGTACCTGAGGCACTGCATCCTTCCACCGTGGTTTTCCCTGTGGCACTAAATCGGGCTTACATCTGCAAAGGTCACAAAGGCAATGTGAGAATAGTTGTATTAATTTTTTCTTGCATGCTAGCCATTCAAACCCTACCATCTGCTGCTAGGCTAATTCAACAAAGAACTTCAACTGTTATAAACGAAATCTAGTTGAAACAGTCTCAAATGTCACGATGCTTTATGTTACAGTTTCCATCTTCTCATATCTGCAAACATCTAGTCTGAGTAGAGACTTTTTTGTGTATTGCTTGTTGGTTTGACATTATGTCACTTCTGTGGAGACAAAATGCAAAGGAAATGCAGCAATGAAATCTATGCATTCTATTTCTGTTCTGTGTAGGCCTCAGGGCAACCAGCCTGGTAACTCCCTTTAAATTGACCCTTAATTATTATTATTATTTTGCCTACTCTATCAGACACTCTTTCCAGAAATGTTAAAGTTCATAGTGAGCATATTTAATGAAATTATGTCAAGGAGATCAATGGAAACTGTCACCAGTTATGGGACTAACAAATATTCCTGCTATATTTTCCACTGGCATTCCACTAGTTCGAACTACTGTCCTAGAGATGTCAATATCATCCATAAAACAACTCCGCATACTACAATTTGAAGTTATACCAAAGCCAGGAAACATCTGGCAAAGCCTTGCGCAATTTCATGCCATGGCCAATGAAGAAGTTAGGCATCATATGACAAATTCAGAACTTGTACTGGTTTATACAGTGCGTACAATCAAGTGCGCGCCGCGGCTGCAATTTGCCGTGAGTCATACCACCGCAGAACGGATGCAACTCCTCCCCGCGACTGCAGTGCCGTTCCCCGATAGCGTGAGTGTAGTGGTGTCGCTGAGTCTCCGTCCATCAGTTGCTCTACATGCACACATTTATAAGAATACAGTAAAAAGATAACTTACCGTGGTTTATAACAGGTGCTGAAAGTGACCTCCTTCTGCTTGCAAACATGCCGCGCATCTCACAAATAAATTACGCGACACTCTCTGCAGTTCGTCGACGGTAATTGAATGAATTACGCGTGTAATTTCATTTTGAAGACTATCAATGCTGCGGGGATTATTTTTGTAGACTTTTTGCTTCAGGTTGCCCCAAAGATAATAATCAGAAATACTGAGATCTGGGGATCTGGGAGGCCACAGTCCTCTACTGACAATTCTGTCTTCAAACACTTCCTGTATTGCGACCATGGATGCATTAGCCGTATGTGCTGTAGCGTTGTCCTGCTGAAAATACCCGTATTGTCTTTCTTCGGCATTCAACTGATCGAAGAAGGGATTCAGTATGTCATTAATGTACCGATCAGAGTTCACGGTATCGTGGAAAAATATGGGGCCAATGATTCGCCGCGGGCTTACAGCACACCACACACCCACCTTTTCACTATGTAATGGCACTTGCTGTATAGCGTGAGGATTTTCATTGCTCCATATTCTTACGTTTTGTGCATTGACGTGGCCACCAACGTGGAACCACGCTTCATCAGTCATGAATAGAAGCTGAGGATCCACTATTCCATCGTGTACATTTTGCAGCAGCCAGTTGCAAAAACGAATTCTTGCTGCATGATCTGGTTCTTTCAGCTCATGCACAACTGTTACTTTATACGGGCGAAATTTGATTAACTTTGTGGCTGTGCGAGCAGATCCTAGCGAAACACCAGTTTCCTGTGCTAAGCGTCTTAACGATTTTCGAGGACTGATCTGTAATCTTGCCTGAATATCCTTAACCTTTTCTTCAGTCAGCACAGTTCTCTTCGATTGCTTCTTCTTGTCACTCACTGAACCTGTGGCCCGCCACTTTTTCAGAAGCCTGTTTACACACGACTTTGTGGGAACTGGCGAGTCAGGATATTTCTGACGAAACCTACGTGCGAATTTTCTGTAAATGTTTTTCCTTGCAATAGTTTCGACAATAAACACACGCTGTTTAATAGTGAACTTCATTTCCACCGTCTGTCGACAGCTGTAAACATTCCACTCCACTTCCACAGCAAGACAAAGACTGACTGTTTAATGCAACCTCGGGTTCCGATTATGCAACCATCGGCATAGGAGCACTGCAGTCGCGGGGAGGAGTTGCATCCGTTCTGCGGTGGTATGACTCACGGCAAATTGCAGCCGCAGCGTGCACTTGATTGTACGCACTGTATCTGTCATTCCAAAATTACGTTTCATAAAACCATGCCATTCAACAAGAGGTTTTGTACATAAATTATTATAATGATGGAATTTGTATTAAAATTACAAATCTGAACAAATCACTTGAAATGCAAATTCTAGTCCAAAAAAAGCCAGAACTATGAATTATTAACTTTCTAACATAATATAAAAAAGTAATATAATGGTGAAAAATTTGATCTCAAGATTTTTAGGGATACACACAATTTCAGACTCCTTGAATATGAAGATGTATACCTTTCCAGCACATGAATGACTGAAGCTGATTCATATTAAGCATTTACTGGTTTATCTGTCATAGTTCAGATCCCAGTGAATACGAACATCCTAGCTCAAAAACAAGACCCTTCACATGCAACTTAAGATTATGCAGGGTCAGAATCCATTCCCTTCATTGCCAAATTCTGAATGAAATTCTGATATCATTATACAAAAACATGAAATATTAGAATGCTGGATGCTGTTACCTGTCTCAGTAATGCAGCTTCCAAATAATATTCCAATAACTTTCACTATAAATCAGTTCTCCTCCCCCCCCCCAAGTATTATGTAGAAAAATACACAATTTTAATTACTTTATCTTATTTTTTTAATCATATAAAATACATCCTGTTCTGTAGCAATATCCTCACGCACATTTTATCTTTGGTTATGCTACTTTAGGAGGTCTAGAAGGATCCACGAATAAAAATGTCTGGAAAACACTGAGCAAACTAAAAAAAACACCAAGAGATATAAAACCCCTGTACCTAAATGATGTTCAAATTTTGATTACTTAAGATTAACCTTCTTACGTCAATTCAGTTCTGATTTTAACAGGATCAGAATCTTCATCAGCGACAAACTCTGTGCTTTCTAGATCAAGTTCATGTGCTTCCTCACTGTCTTCTGACATCTGTAAAGAAATGTAGATATATGGATATTCATTCATTCATATTCCTTTTGCTCCATCTACAGCATACGGTATCCAAGAAATGCTTTGTTTCACTTCAGTTTCTTAATCTTGCAGACAGTCAGCAGGACTCCTTGCACAGGGTATCAGCCCACTGCAAGGCTACTACCTATACAGTACAACATGAACACAGAATAAAAGTAGACAAATATCCATGCCTCTATCAGGATTCGAACACACAATCCCAGCATTCGAGCGGGCAAAGAGAGTTCATGCCTTAGACTCCTCGGCCACTGTGATCAGCGATATATGGATAATAATTGTCAAAAACTGCTGATGTTAGTATACAATATACAAAAATTAACTAGCTGCATCTAATCTGAAAATTTGTCATACAGCAGCATACTTAAAACAAAAATTCTAAGGTGAATATTCTGTCCTAAATACAAAGGGTAACGGGGGGGATTTGTGGTGGATAAAGTTGCACTGGGGCAGTCTCGTCTCCAAGCATTTCATGTTTCACCTGCAAATGTAATTCCAGCAGTGCTTCATACCCATCCATCAGGGACTAGTACAATAAATCCACTCGAAGTGCAGTATCAACCATGGATGTGTCAAGGTGTTTTTGGGAGCAGAACAGGAAGGGAAGAAAATTTTCCTACAAACTTACATTGACGTTACTGTAGAATATTTCAAAATAGGAGAATAATTTTGTATTTTTTAATTAAAAGAAAATTTTTCAACATAATTTCATGGATTTGTCACTATACATGTCAATCCTGGGAAAAAATAATTATGGCATCTTAAGGCACTGGAAATAACTTATTCAAAATGAAGCACTCTAAAACTAAGCAACGGTGTTTACTCCAATTTTCAGCCATGGGTGTTATTCAATGGGATGGAGTCATACTTTAATAAAGAAGGGTTGAAAGAAAAGAGGTACATCAGGCTTTTCTCAATTTGTACCCATCTTCACAGTTGAAGCTGCAGGGTTGTCTGTCTATTTTGATAGCTGTTTAGATAACTTGTAGACAGTAAGTGTATATGTTTCTCAGAGGCCTTTTTTTTCTGTCTGTGGTCTGTCTTCAATCACTGCTAAATCAGTGTTCAGTTCTTCCATAACTTCTTGGGTTTCCTCATTTAGTCCTTCCGTACATATATTTGTCTCTCATAAATACTTAACTTGGCAGCATTGATTATTTTTGGCACTTCTTAAAGGAAAGTTGGGAGAACTAATAACATATAAAGAAAGCAGTCTGCTTGACCGTGTCTCACGGTGTTGTCGCTTGCAGATTTACTTATACTTCTTCAACCCTGAAGATGGGGGCGATACGTTCCTCCGAAACGTCGGTTAACACCACATATACACGGTGCCAAATCCCAGAAGACTGCTTTCTTCATAGTCACCGCCGTGAAAGCCTCAAATCTTACATAATAACATATAAATATCTGTTCTTGTATTTACTTGAATTCCAATGGTGTACGTGTATGTTATTTACTAAACTGGTACGTCACCTCAATAATAGAAAACAAAATGTCCCCCACTGCACAGATTTTTCTAGTTACATTTTTGTTATTTCCATAATTCTAGGGGTGCAATGGGACTGAGTCCTTGACCCCATGGTTGCCGGTTAGAAGTGGAGCACAAATTGGGGATCCCCCCTATAAAAATATTTAAAAAATCGAAATCGTAAAAAAAGAGGTTTGCCAAATGATGTTTTAGTTACTACCCTAGGTTTCATGCCAATATGGAGCATCTACATAACTGTACTGGAGCATCTAACTAGTTCTCAAAAGCCATTTGCATACATGGTAGCACCATACTATCACCCTTACTCCTACTGCAAGAACTAAATTCCACTTTCCACTTCGACCACACCAAGACAGTAACAGAAATATGTGCTGAAATGCTGGGACAGCTTCTTCAAACAAAGATGCTAAAGCCTGAGAGCCTTAGTTACACAGAAAGAAACAGAGCTGCCATGTTGACAGAATGCAGACATATTGTCCATATTAATGTTGAAGTACAGATAGACTGTAGTATATACGAGTATATCTAGGAATTCGGTTAACCGTCAACACAACGAATATACTCTCTTTTAATGTTTTACAATTTGACTTTTTATTCCTTCTACATGTTTTGGTCGTACAAGACCATCCTCATGAAGTTATACGAGTATATAGGAATACATAGTATATGTAGTATCTAAATATATTAAAAATATATAGATTAAAATGGGCACAAGAAGGAAGAAGCAAAGGCAAAATGCAGATGCTATGATGGATTTAAAGTATGAATGAGAATGTAAAGTTTGCTGGGGAAACAAATTGGAAATCCATTGCAATGAACAGGTAATGCTGGCAAGAACGCCTCCAATAGAAGACAACTCATACTGGGCTGTAGTATCAGTGATGATGAGGTCAACCAGCCAATGACTGAAGTGAATTTTAAACAACTGAATCAGAACAAGCCAACAAATGGACCAGCTAATTCACAGTTCAGTAATAGCATTTAATCAGCAAGAGAAATATGAAGTGTTGTATGATTCATGTTTAGAAGTGAACTAGCCAGGTGAAAAGGCTGAAATCATGAGGTTATGCACTATCCCTCTCAGCGTTCCAAACAAGTTTATTTGCATACTGACACATCCAACTGGAAAATTAAAACACAGACATTAACTGTTTCGTACATTGGGAATAGGGTTCCATATAAAAATATAAATCTTGCTCAGGAGAATATCCCTTAATTGAATCTTCATTGAAGAGTACTAGCCTCCGGGATATATAGCCATGTAGTCCAATGAAAGTCAACCAACGTTTCAGAGGAACATATCGCCTCCATCTTCAAGGTCAATTAGCCAAACAAGAAACCAGCATGAAAGCAAGTGGCAATCAGAGCTCTGCTTTGCCTAGCAACGGACACCCTATTGTTGCACACTGGCTCCCACAGGAATGTGTTAGCAGTGGGTCTGTATGTATGTCACAGTAATCCCACAAGTTGGTCACGTTTTGAGGAATATAAACACAAAATGGGGTTCCTCTAACCCTCCCCCCTGGCCTTGTTGTTTCCAGTCTCTGTGTCTTTCATTAACCACTGCGACTGGCAAGAACTGTGTTCACTGTACCAGTGCTTGAAATTTAGTCACAGCTGTGTGGTTGTTACTTCTTCTGTACCTCAACTAAAGAACACACCTAATTCACATGATTACCTTAAGTCTGCAGACTGAATAATAAAGTGAAGAATTTGATTATAAAAATCCCCTTATCTCTCACTATACGAGTAAACTGATGTTGATAAAAAAAAAGCAGTGTCATCACGTTCTTGCACTGCATAACCATGTAATTATGATCGATGCTTCCCTGTCTTTACCTACCAACGGTGTGGACTGTCTATAATGACACCCCCTCATCGTCACCACCTATGTCCATGGCTTAAATGGAAAGCAGAAAATTGTTGGATTTGAGAGGGTCAACTCAGCCTCTAGCAAAAATCAGTACCAGGAATCTTGACCTAATCCTTCCAGCTGCACTCTGTCCCTGGGGTCGACTCAGCCTCTAACAGAAATGAGTACCAGGAATGTTCTTGGAATATTCTTGGGGGTGAGCTTAATGCTTGTCTATTGCTACATATTTGAAGACAGTTCGATTCTTAGCTTGTGCGTAGTTTTGCGAGTCACACAAAGTGCACTTATTTTGTTTGTTAGATTTTAGTTTCTCACGCAGGTGACTGTGAAGAGTAATATCAACTGGGGTTTGACACCGTACAGTCTGGTAACATTTAAATATGGTTAGGAGAAATATATTCCATCTGTCTTGAGTGTCAAAGAGAAGGTCGAGAAAGCAAGTAGACTACAGCTCGATTGCTCAGCTTTCTCGTTTACCGTGAAGATGGAAGCAATAAGTGCCTTAGAAAATGCCAGTAAATTTATACCAGACTACATAGCCGATAATCTAGGCCGGATTGGAAGAGTACAATGGCAGAACTTCGAAATATCCAATCGGTGAAGCTTTTGGGATCATGTAAAGTTTGAGATAATGTACTTCTGTAAGGTAAAGATAAGGGTACTTAGACACCATGCCATGAGGACATATGGCAGAGTGGAGTAATAGCTCCATGTATTCTTAACTTCGACACTTGACAGAAGAGGTCAGTTTCATTCACCAACCGCTTTACTCCCAGGGAAAGAGCCTCCAGGTTCCAACTGTACAGATGGCTGAGTTGGTCTCAGAACTTGAGTGGAAGATGTGGAGAAGGGAATAATCTGGCACCCATACCAGTAATCAAACCCCGATTCCTCTATCGTCCAGCTCAGACGCTAATCGCTATGCCGACTAAGCTACCCTTACCCCAGTGCGATCTGACAGAATTATCACAACTGAAAATGGGGTGAAATATAAGGAAGGAAAAGGTCTTTGCATGTAAGCAGCGTGGTTTAATTTGCTAGAACGTCATATGCCCGTCACTGCCATTGGGTATGTTTACAGCTGAGCTACATGGTTCATTAACGAAACAGATGGCGACGGGCTGATTAATTCTCGGAATGCTGGAATTAAGGAAATGACCTTGGTTTTAAAATACATCTTTTCGTTCCGAAGCCTAAAGCCATATAGGGACAGTCCAATTAAGGCTCAGAGCGGAGATATTAAAACGGTGCTGAAAATAACAAAAATACAGTCATTGGTCCCGACGGGACCCGAAACCAAAACTGACTGTGCTGGCAAGGACTCTCGGCAATTTACCGACTCACCAACACGTTGTGTAAAAATCTTTGCCCCCAGTGCGCGTACACTTACTTTCCGGAAGACATCGCTAATGCAGTTTACTGAAGTTTAATGAAAATCGCAGAAAGACGTTTTCGAGAAAATCGCAATTTTGTTTTGGGGGAACCCTGTGAAGGGCCACTATTTTTGAAGTTAGAATGTCCACAGTTTTGGGCACCGACGTGTGGTGGATATAAATTCCGTCTATGAATAAAATTCGTCGAAGTGTTCACACGCTGGGA